AACTAATTGCGAACAGTAATCTAATCTGGGTCTACCTCTACCCCTCCGTTTCTAGCAGGTGACCTTAATTCGAATTCCCTTTGTTTATTAAAGCTTATTTAATTTATTATTTTTAAATTAACAAAACCTATTCATGGTCCAATAGTAGTGAAACGTATTAAATAGAATCAAATCAGAAACAACGACTTAGAAATATTTTACAATGACTTCGACAGAAAGGTCATTATCAAAGGGGCAGCAAAGCTACTTAAATTGTTTCTTTGATAATGAGCTTTCGGGCTTTCAGTCGAAACAATTGTAACTGTTTTCTAACAAATACTTGAAACAAAAGAGTTTGACCGTTGTTTATTTTGATTTGATTCTAATTTATTGTTGTTGACTTTGTTGTAACTGCTTCTGGTTAGTGACTTAAAATGTTCCTAAAACTGTTGGCACGTCAACTGCGGCCGCCTGATCGTAACATATAGAAATCTCGGTTCGTTAATGTCGACAAAATTAACTGTAAGCAATATTTATTACGTTGATCTGAAGATCCCAATTAACGTTTCTCCGAAGAAATTCTTTCGAAAACACGTTTATGCGTCAGTTAAAATTGTTTCTTCCGAATCACCTGTCGCAACCCCTAAACATCCCTAACGATTTGAACGATTTAACAAAGCAAACATTACCGAACGAAAGTAAATGGCTATAGGTTCTAATCGATTTTCACAGTGTATCAAGTCAACCACCCTTCTCCACGACTGTTCCGAGCTACCCCGCGGCCAACAACAACAGGATCTGATCAATTTTACACAACATCGGTTCGACACATATTTTGACTGTGAAATTGGGGTGAACTTACCTATTTATTTCCTTAAAATGGGCCAGATTAACGAGCCGTTTTGCTTCAGGTATGGTTTCAGAGGGTTGTTCACTCAAAATTTTACGGTTAATCGGCAGATAGAAAGGACCAGTTGGTTATGCAACTTTTGAAAGTAATGATGGGTTTGTTATGATAATTACTTATTATTACAAGGGTATTACAGGATAAAATTTAAAACAATTGATGCTTATGGGAGGCGAATTATCAAAGTTAGAATAAGTTACTTTCATAAAGGGAGATGTGACAATCACACAATTTTGAATAATCGTAATCTGTAACATTGAAGATATGCTTCAAGTCGAATTCGACAACTATCAAACACTTTTCTCCACTTCATAACATATTTATCCCTCTTAAAGTAATATAAATCTTTATTACAATTTTATAAACGTTAAACATATTAGAAACATGATAATACTTGGAATTTTATAAACTTGCTTGGGTCTTTTTTATGTTGAAACATACACCGTATTATTTGGAATTGTTTTTTCATCATAACATTAAAGATAATGTAGGAAGTTTCGAAATATTATCATGTTCCTAATATGTACAATGTTCGTAGCCTTGAAAAGCCCTCCAANCCTATTCATGGTCCAATAGTAGTGAAACGTATTAAATAGAATCAAATCAGAAACAACGACTTAGAAATATTTTACAATGACTTCGACAGAAAGGTCATTATCAAAGGGGCAGCAAAGCTACTTAAATTGTTTCTTTGATAATGAGCTTTCGGGCTTTCAGTCGAAACAATTGTAACTGTTTTCTAACAAATACTTGAAACAAAAGAGTTTGACCGTTGTTTATTTTGATTTGATTCTAATTTATTGTTGTTGACTTTGTTGTAACTGCTTCTGGTTAGTGACTTAAAATGTTCCTAAAACTGTTGGCACGTCAACTGCGGCCGCCTGATCGTAACATATAGAAATCTCGGTTCGTTAATGTCGACAAAATTAACTGTAAGCAATATTTATTACGTTGATCTGAAGATCCCAATTAACGTTTCTCCGAAGAAATTCTTTCGAAAACACGTTTATGCGTCAGTTAATGTTTTCTTCCGAATCACCTGTCGCAACCCCTAAACATCCCTAACGATTTGAACGATTTAACAAAGCAAACATTACCGAACGAAAGTAAATGGCTATAGGTTCTAATCGATTTTCACAGTGTATCAAGTCAACCACCCTTCTCCACGACTGTTCCGAGCTACCCCGCGGCCAACAACAACAGGATCTGATCAATTTTACACAACATCGGTTCGACACATATTTTGACTGTGAAATTGGGGTGAACTTACCTATTTATTTCCTTAAAATGGACCAGATTAACGAGCCGTTTTGCTTCAGGTATGGTTTCAGAGGGTTGTTCACTCAAAATTTTACGGTTAAACGGCAGATAGAAAGGACCAGTTGGTTATGCAACTTTTGAAAGTAATGATGGGGTTGTTATGATAATTACTTATTATTACAAGGGTATTACAGGATAAAATTTAAAACAATTGATGCTTATGGGAGGTAAATTATTAAATTTGGAA